TAGTTAACAAAAACAAGCACAAACATGGAGTTTGTAAGTGTGGTTTTCTCAAAAACAGAGACAGACCGAAAACTAGGGGCTATCAATGCCAATTTCTTATTGGTTATTGATATTTATGATATGTCTCCTATATTCAGTTTGTGAGAATACAGAAACTTATTCACCAAATAGAAGATTATGTATTTATTTTGCACACAAATCTGGGTAAGCAAGATGTAGTGGTTGAAAGGAATAGAATGGATTCAAAATTCTATCTCATATTGACAACTAAAACAATTCTTAAGAAAAATGAACATATTTTGGAAGATTCCACTGAATTCTATTTATTCAATTGAAAACAATAAATAAATCAGCAGACAATTTGGTATTTCAAATAGGCTTATATAGGAAGTCACAGTGAGACATCATTTTTCTATCTTATTTAATTGAATCAATGGAAACTATATTTATCTTAGCTTTGTCTTTAGTTTAAAAAAAAATCATAATAAGGGAAAGAGCTTTGAAATGGAAGTCCAAAAAGTAAATCTGAGTGTCAGGTTTATTACTATGTCCATGAGCAAGTCCCTACGACTCTTAGGGTCTTCAGTCTCTTAATTTGCAGATGGGCATAAAAATATCTGCCTTGCTTATCTCATGAGTTGATATAAGGCTCAAATAGGCAATATATGGAAAAGATGGTGAAAAGTATTATTATCTGAGACAGAGCAGTATAGGAACAGATCACAGGTCTAGGACAGGGTTCAAGTTGAAGTTCAACTGCCAACTATGCATCCACTAAATGAGTGTGCTGAATTGTAACATCCCTTCTATCTCCAGGAGTCTGTGATGTTATACTGGAAAAACTCACGAGAAAACTCTCTAACGCGCCTTTGTTTCCTATGAAAGTGACAGACACTGATTAGGTGTTTGTGATTTTTGGCACGAGTAGGCTCACATCCCTTATGAAATGAGGTGTGGTATTAATTTATTGACGACATATCAGAATGTTCTAAATGTAGAAAAGTGGCAATCACGGAGAATTATGAGAATCATTACGTGGTATGAAATCTGAGCATGAAACTAACATTAGGAAAGAATCTGCCCTTGAAATAAAGAAAAAGAGAGTCTGTGCTGCATTACTTATGGTCCATGTTAAAATCTACACACCCCATACAAACAAAAGATTACAGCTAAACACAGAGGCATAGCTGCCCTTGTCTGTTAATTCACTCACTTATCCTTTTAATTACTTGTTCTTCTTGGTGCTTAACTTGGGTTTTGTGTACACCACAACTAAACATAGAACAGACAGCAGGCGAGGCAACATAAGGTTTTCTTGTAAGATTTACAAAAGTAGGAATTTTTGTCTGTTTTTTTCACTAATGTATCCCAAATACCTATAACAGTGCCTGGTACATAATAGGCATTTAATAAATATGTATCAAAAGGATGAACTTGTTTCCATTTTCTTCCTTCAATAAGTGTTACATTTTTTTTAGAATTTTTGTTGACTTTTCTTTATATCATGAACTTGCTTCTATAAAAAGAGGTAAACCACAAGAATTTAACCAAAGGTAGCTCTAGCAAAAGAGGTAGTTGGGCAACAATACATGACCAACTCAAATGCTTGAAGCCTGTCACCTTAAAATAATCTGAATTAGAAGTAATGCTTGTTTCAGTGTAAAATTACTAAATAAGTAGGACAGATACAAAAGCTAAAGAATTGCTCTTTTCATGCTACTAAAGAGAATACTTCAAACAGTGTAGGGGAAAAATTTACATATAATTCATAAAATGAGATTAAAAATACATGAAAAAAGAGCTATTAATAAATACGCCTCTTGTGTTTCCTCCTTTTAAAACTCAAAATAGTGTGGTCTGCCTCGTGCCCACATCAAAGGAACCCAAGTAACTGAGAATAAGGGAAATGAAGGCTCAATTCAATCTCTCTCTCCTGGTGCCTAAACACATTTTACAAAAATGTTCTTTGAACCAAGAACACACTTAGAAAACCAGAAACAGAACAGGAAGATAAACCCACAAGAGAAAACAACCATGACATCACCACACCCCCTTCCAGTTTTCTCCAAAACATTTTTCTTACCAGATGAACACAGTAAGTCAAAGACCTCTATTTTTAATGCATGAGTCTTGGTTACGGCGCAAGAGATCAACGGAAAATCTCTTCTCTTTGGGAAAACATGAGCCTCTAACACAAAGTATGTAAGCTTATAAAATAGCATGCCTGATATAGGAAGCACCAAAATGAAAGGATGAAAGAAGCAGTGAACAAATTAATGAGTGTCTCTAAGAGAGAATTTTAGAGAAATTCAGGAAGAAGTGACAATGTATAAATTTGCTCATCAATTCCCAATATTCTCCTCATACTATATAACTATATATAACTGTAAAACTATACAACCATACATCTATATAATTATATAACTATATATATACAACTATGTACAACCATATATATACTAAATATATATATTTATATTTATATATATATATATATATCTAGAAAAGTGTCAGCCAGCACAGATAAGCTGGAGAGAAGGTAAGAGAGTTGAGGAGAGTTTTGAGGAAAAGTGGGGGTAGGTCATAGCGTCACCTACCATGCTGTGATGGGGAAAGAGGATTTTAAATGAAGTTTTGCTCTATTATCAATGTCACTCCCTTGCAATTTTTTAAGAGGATGTAATAAGGATTTAAATCACTTTTCAATTATTTCTATACATCATTTATTCATTTATTCCACAAATATATATTGATAAAGGCAATTTCTTGAGACTGTGTTAACACTGGCAGCCTCTGTAGAGACAGGCCTTATGGTGGAAGCAAGAAAGCCCAGCTTTATATAGGTTACAACAAAAACACAGATCTAGAAAAGGCCAACCATACTCCAATACAGCTCCTTGTTCTAGTCTTTGAGAACATCAACAGTTGAATTAGCTTTTATGGCATGGCCTGGAAGCCTCCTATTATGTACAATGTAGAAAATGTGTTTGGAGCTGCAGTCAACCAACAGATGAACTTGAACTCAACTGTTCAAATTGGAGACTCCTGTTCACTAGGCGACTTTTCCCACTAGTCATGGGACTAGTGGGACAGCTAGTCATGATGCTGTTTAATTCTCTTCTAAAGGTTAAAGTAAAGCATTACCAGGCCTCATGAATTTCATGAGTTGTGATTAAGTGCAACTAAATTCTAAGCACTGTTAGACTGAGAAATATCTCCAACCTAAATGCACTGGCATCAACATTGCCAACAATAATAACCCAAGGCTACTTCCATTATGAATCTGGTCTTTGCTTTAAAAAAAATATCATGATATTTTCCTAGATAATGACCCACATAAAGGGTTTTCCATGATTAACAATGGCATTTGTCTTCTACCCGGTGCCAGGAACAAAAGCCTGTGGCTGACTGAAGCCAGCCCAGCAATAGAGATCTCTTCTAAAAACAGAATACAGTACAGCTCATTCTTCAAGATCTTCTAGGGGAAACTAGATGATGAGTGTGTTGATGTCTTTTAAAAACAATCCGCTAAATGCTTTTAGATCCTGTGCCCTGATTACTGTCTGACCTGTATATTTTTGGCAATGCTAGTGCCCTAGAGGGCCTGATGATTTGACAAGCACTTAAGGTCCTCAGTTTAGACGAATTTTGAAAAAGCCAAGATAAGCAGACTAATTTCCTAAAAAAAGTATTTTCTTCTGATCTTTTAAATGTTAAAGGGGCTATGTCAGTGGATTATCTTGAGTAAGGAAAGTTCTGCCTTATAAAGACTGCCATTGTAAACAACTAATCTCCCAGCCAGTTACACACTCCAGATGAAGTACACTTTCCAGGCAAGTAGCAGTGACTCTCTCCCTCTCGGGACTGGGTGAGAAGGCAAACTAACTGGGTAGATTAGATTTCCTGTGTAAATTACTGTTTGTTGCTAATCAATGTGGTTGTTGCAAAGGGTGTTGCAAAGATCCAATAAGACAATGTACAGAAAATGCCTAGTGTAGCACCTGACATTATCATCATCATCACAGTAAAAGCACATTCTACCCACGCTCAGATCAGGTGCTTTAAGAAGAAATGTAATCTCGAAGAGATATCTGCAGTCCCATGTTGATTGCAGCACGATTCACAATAGCCAAGTTGTGGAAACAACCTAAATGTCTATCAATGAATGAATGGATAAAGAAAATGTGGTATATACAAATGATGGAATACTCTTCAGCCTTAAAAAAGAAGGAAATTCTGCCATATGCAACAACATGGATGAACTTATAGGACATTATGTTAAGTGACATAAACCAGTAACAGAAGGACAAATACTGCATTATTCCACTTATATGAGGTATCTAAAATAGTAAAACTCATAAAATCAAAGAGTGGAGTGGTGGTTTCCAGGAGCTGATGGGGAGGGAGAAATGGGGTGTCACTAATCAATGGACATAAAGTTTCAATTAAACAACATGAATAAGATCTGGACCTCTGCTGTACAACATTTTACCTATACTCAACAATAAAGTACTGAACACTTAAAAATTTGTTAAGAGGGCAGATTGCAAGTGTTCCTACTACAATAACATAAAATTGAATTTTAAAGAATTTTTTAAAAGGAAAAGAAATGTAAAAGAAAAAAATATTTTTTTCTTTTTTGCAGCCTCATTTTTAGACCAGAATATCTCTAATGTCTCAAAAGTATTATAATGTAATATTATATATTTGAAATTTTATATTTTCTTTGTAATCAAATATTTCGCACATTATTTTTTTTGCAAGAAACCAATAGGAAGGGGAGGGTCATCTCTTAAATATTGATTATTTCTAAAAGACTCAGTTTGCTCACTGGACTTCTTTGGCAGATTACCATACTCGAGAATTAAAAGGAGCTTTTTATCATTTTCAAACAAGGAAACTAAGACCCAAAGAGAATAAGGGAATGCCAGACCTAGTACAAGAAAGGGATCTACTTTGGATGTCTGTACAATTCTCTTTGCTGTTCCAAGATCACATACCTGTGGTGGAGTCGATGGTAAAAAGGGATGACACGTCTCCAGGAATGAGCTCATAAGCCACTGTTCCATATATGCCAGAATCCCTGTCAGTGGCAAGAACACTGATGATCTCGGTGCCGGGCTGGGTCTGGCCACTAATGCTTGTCACGTAGGTTGACGGGTTAAACACAGGTGCATTATCATTCATGTCCTCCAGCTCCACACGAACAAAAGCTTGGGCGCTTAGCCCACCCTGTTGAATGAATGAGAAGCGATTACAAATGGATCTCTTCTGAACACTGGGATGCAGAATAATCAACAAAGACCCTAGGACAGACTTTTGAAACACCAAAAAAAAAAAAAAATATATATATATATATATATATATTCATTTTACTTTTAACCTTGAGATATGAGCTCATGGATAACAGCACGGTATCTATACTTCAGTGCTGATTCCTAAACATGAACAAGATTACCACTTAAAGCTCCTATGAGGCAATAATTTCAGAGTAGAGGCCAAAGACATTCAAGGAAAGCTGTCCTGCTGTCCAAAGAGAAAAAACAAATCACCTTTACCCCCAGGATAATTTTTGACTAGGGGGTAAGGGAGTATTGGTGGGGGAGACAATTTTAGAAAAGGTCGTTGGTGAAAGCCTCACTAAGAAGGTGTCATTTGAGTAAAGACTGACCTATTGAGGGAGCTAAACTTCAGTTATCTGGAGGAAAAGCATAACAGACAGAGGAAAGAGCAAGTGCAAAGGCCCTGAGGCAGGAGTGCAGTGTGCATCCCAGGCCTGTTCAGGGAACGGCAAGGAAGTCAGGGAGGCAATGTCAGAGAGGCTCTGCGGGTCTCTGAAAGGACCATGGCTCTGACCCATTGGAGGGTTTTGAGCAGAGGAGTGGCCTGATTTGCCTTAGATTTTAACTGTCACTCTGGCCGCAGAGTTCAGAACAGCCTGCAAAGTGGCAAAAGTGGGAGATAGGAGGCTATTAGCATCATCAAGTCTGGAGTAGATGGTGGCAATAGAGGTATTATCCTAAATACTTGGGGCCATATTTTAGAATTCTGAATTTTTCAAGTTTTAGAGAAGTAATATAGTGCATAAAGTAGTGAGAAGTGGATCCCGTACTGTGTTGCCTCCATCTAAAAACAAGGAGAAGGGGAGAGGATACAACAGAAGAAAATAATCCTCTGTAATTTTTACTTTTCTAAAGTTAAACATGTGTTCCTACTTTAAAGCACCATTTTCCACGTCTATCTGGTACATTTTGGTACTTTCCTCTTTGACAAAAATCCTTGGTAAGTCACAACAGCCTGGGTTTTCTTATTCACTTATCCTCCCCCCTTCTCTCTTTTTTTTTGTTTCTTTTTCCTACTGTGGCGGGGAGGCACTGAGCAAAGAGAAAAAAGAAAGACTGAAGAAGAAGGTTTGGCCCGAGACAAAGGCAGGACGGCTGCTGGCAGATAGGGAGGCAGTACACGTTGAGGGTGAGGGAGGGCGAGAAAGAGTATTGTTTGGGATGACGTTTAGGACGAATCCAGAAATGGCTCTCACGTTCTGAGGTCCCTGTACCCCAGACATTGAGGACTAAAAAAGAAATACATCTTTAGAAATAAATAGTGTGATTTTCCACGTTCTAAGCTGAATAAAGTACTAGGGCCATGCAAGCTACCAGTTAGAACAGGAGAAACGAGGGCTAATTACGATTGCAATAAAAACAATGGAAGTTCCACCCAGTCTGTTTGCTTAAAGTGCAGATTGGTGCTGTATCTTCAGCAAATCTAAATAACCCGTAGGTCCCCAGGTGGGGTGGAGTAAGAGGGGACTGCAGACTGATTACAAACAGATAGAAAATACTGCATACCATCTGACACAGACCCTGCGGCTTGTCCGAACTGTCTTCCTTCTCCATTTTGCTTTCCATTGACATTTCCCTTCCCCTTTCTTATATATTTTTTCCTTGAGTTCAAGAAGTCACTTAGGTTTTAGGAGGGGCTGAGAAAGCAGGTAAGACAAGTAATGAGAAAGTGGGAAAGATGTGAGAAATGATCCATCCATTATCGCTCCTTAATCATCCATCCTTATCACTCCACCGTAAGATCTCTAAGAACAAAGATGTTAATTCCTAGGCTGTCCATGAAGATCCTAAATCAGGCCATGCTACCCAAAACAACCAAAATATTAGATGGACAAAGTGAAAAACTTACTGTCACAGAACAATGAATCTTTCTGCAGGAAAAGTATAATACATCTCAGTCTTTTTTATGAATTCAGTTTTCATCTGCTGAATTTATCAAAGAGGGGGTACTTTCCTCTAATAAAAGCGATTTGTGAATGTGTGTTAAGTGTGCTTTATGTATATTTCTCTTTCAATTGTTATAATCTCCTTTTTCTAGATTTTTTATGGTTTTCCCCATTTTTACAGGTAAGAAAATCAAAGCACAGAGAAGATAAGTGACTAGTCCAAGGTAAAGGAGACTGTAAACCACAGATCTGCAACTGGACCGGAGATTGATGTGTCCCCAAAGCCCCTGCTGACTTCTTTTAAATTCAAAATTTGAAAAATACTTTTTAAATTATTGCTATGGTATAAAATGCTACCTTTCATGAAAGACTTGTTTAAAGACTACGCTGGGGGCAATGCCAACCACAGACTCAGTCTTCGAAGGGAGAAAGAAGACAGGGTCTCTGTTTACAAGGGACTTACAATTATGAAACAGACACTACACAACTGGGTTTGTGACACAGTGGAACAATCTGGAGCTTAAAGATCTGGGCCTAATGTCTGGCCCTGCCTGCATCTGGGACCATAGCATTGAGAAAGTCAGATAGTCCCTGAGTCCAAGCTACCTCTTCTGTAAAGCGGGGCTACCTACTCGCCCTGCAGGCCTGTTGTTGGAACGAGGACATGATATGTATGAAAGCATTTGTAATGGTTAATCACCATCAATTATAAGAATTTACAGGCTCCTTATCCTAAATACTTGATGCCAGATAGATTTGTCTGGGAATTTTTCAAGTTTTAGAAACATAATATAGTACATATACCTAGTCAGGTCTGGGTGGCACCCGGTAATCAAGCATTTAATATTCTGCAGCAAAATGTATGAATAGACACGTTTAGAGGGATAAAGAAACATGAATGGCCCCGGGTCAGTTCAAGTCAGGTTTCTCGCCAAATGAGTTTTTAAAACTTTCCATCTTGAGAGCCTTGGGGTTTCAGAACTACAGAGAAAGGATTGTGGATGGTCTTCATTACTCAGATGCAGACACATGCTGTGAACACTGCACAGACGGAATCTCGATGCTGAAGGGATCCTTGAGATGGGGGTCCTCAAAAACAAATTGGATTTTAGATCTCCAGCTGGTGTGCAGTTCCAAGAGACTGGAGGAGCCCTTTTAAATTGGGAGATACGATTCAAGGTTCAAGGCCCTGAAGTTTGGCTGCTGTCTGAGCAGTAAGGAAGACCTGGTATGGTCCCTTCCAACAAGGTTTAAGGGCAGTCTTTGTTCTTAGCGATTCCAAATCAGAAGAGACTTGTAGCCAGATATTTGAGGCAAGTAGAGGAATTCAGGATTCAGTCCAATTTATAGGCAGATAACAAAACCTCAAAGGTAACGAACAGGATTGGAATCTGATTACTTAAGCTCTAGCCAATCAAAAAATTTCCTTGCTTTGCTTCTGTGTCTTCCTTATAAAAATCTTTCCCCTAGCTTCTGTTGGTGGAGGAATCCTAACCACTTTCAGTTTGGCGCTGCTGGATTCAAATCTATTTTTGCTCAAATAAACTCTTAAAAATTAAAAAAAAAAAAATTTGACAAACAGATATTTCAGGTAAAATAACATCCTAGAAAATGTAATGGCATTAGAAAAAATTCTCTGCCATGTTGTAGGCACGGTAAGCTAACTAACGTGGCTAAAGGGGTGTGTCCATGGAGAGGGTGGGCAGGATCGGGAGAAGAGCCTTGATAGATTTGTAGAACTTGATTGAAATGCTAAGGAGGATAGACTATTCTGCACACCAGTGGACCCCATCAGTAAAAACTGTGGTGTGATACTCTCATTACATATACATTTATTTATTAATAAATTATATAAATATTTACTGTGTTAATGTATTATTTATATTTAAAACACACAAAAATAAAGTTTAAAAGGCTAAAATTCAGAGTTCTGGTTTCTTTCTAAATCGCCACATGGAACACTATTGCTATCATTCATGAAGAGATATGATCAAATCTAGGTGTTAGAAAGAGATATGTGAGGTAGTAATTTAGAGATGTGCCTTCAAAATAAATAAATAAAGAGGAACCTTAGTCAAAAAGTTGGGAGAATGCTGAATTAACCAAGGCAAATGGATCCTTTGCCTCAGGACTTCTCCCGGAGCCTTTCCTATGTGCATTTCTAGAGGGGTGAGTTCTGAGGTATTCCCCACTCTTATTTGACCACAGAATCCTGTGGAAGGAGTATCTTAGGAGAAAATTATTCCACAGAACACAATGTGGGGAATGCTAATCTGAACTCATTTTCTCCATTCCCTCAGAGTGTTCACCTCCCAACCCTCTGTAACTAAACTTCTGTCCAGCTCATCATGACTCTCCTGATAATGCAATCTTTGAGATACTCTGAGCCAGAACCACCAGCTAAGGTGCTTCCAGATTCCTAGCCCTTGAAAGTGCGTGAGATAATAAATGTTTGTTATTTTAAGATGTTAAATTTGGGAACAATTTGTGACACAGCAATACGTAACTAATACACTCCATAAATTCCATGCATGAATATTTCTTAACTTTGCCTTATCCTTTCTCTTTCCACCAAGAAGTCATGGTTTTGATATAATTTTCATCATTTACTTTTTAGAATTATGGTAAGAGACTCTTAACCAATCCACCTGAAACCCAGTCCTTTCAAGACATGCTGTGAAAGTTGGGAGTAGTTTGAAAAAACACCAAGCTGGAAAGCATACAATACTGGAGGCAGGAAGGTCGTCTAGGGCAATCCTAGATATGGAAAAATTTCTGCTCTTATTTCTACTTTGGCCATTGTCTACTATCCATTCTCTCTGTTCTCACCTTCTGGGGCTCCTGAATAGTAGAATATTAATAACTATCCTTCACTTCTCGTAGCTCTTGTGGGCTGTGGTTTCCTTTGTCAATGCATTCTAGTCTATAGTTTATGATTCAATGAGCAAAGGTGAAGCAAAATGAGGGTCCAGGGAAAAAAAACAGTAAGCTGTGGTGTCACCAA